TGGCCAATATAGTGGATAACTCTACCAGGAGATGCAAAATGCCGGATTCAATATATATCTTCGCATGAGAACATCAATATTTATTTCAGATAATATGCGAAAAATTGAACTTTTTAAAAGTAATAAAATGCAGAATCGCAAGAACTCTCACTCCAGATCTGAGGGATCATAGGTAAAGAATTCCACACGCACGATTCCAGAGCTTCCTTTAGAAATATCAAGAAGTTAAAACCTGCGTTTGGTGTTAGAACGAGTAAAGTATACCTCTTTTTCCTCTTTTAAACTGTTTAACATCACAATTGTGCCGATATCATACTGTGATATCATCCTCCAGAAGTCGTTAACAGTATCGTTTAACGGGGCTTGAGTCAAAATGTATGCGTCACGTCGACTATAGTCCTGATGAAGGTAGTAAAATATGTCACCATTGAGAAAATTATTGTAAAGAACACAGAGCAATAAATACGATAGAGAGAGACGATTCTATTAAAAAAAAAATTCCATTGCACTGATGACCTTAAAGCCTAAAAAAAAAAACTGCAGCAAGTATCTAATTTATTATTGCTACTGCACAGTACCAACTGACAACTGATTCGTCTTCCTTGATATCAAGCCTATAGGTTAAACATTGTTTTCTTGCAATTCTGACTACAGATAAATTGTATTAACTTAAACGTCAACTTGAGGGCGCTGAGTCAAGACACCATGAGTTTTTTGTGGGATCCAAAATTGCTTTCAGTGTCAAGATAATCAGTCATAAAATGTATTTTTGGAGGACAAATAAACACCGAAATGGAATGAGTATGGTTAAGGATAGTGACAACTGACTCGAACTACAAACAAATAACTTGTAAAATATAGGCTAAATTCTCTTAACTTATTTGAACGAAATATAGAACAGCCAAAAAGGAGAATTAAGAATTAGATCTGGGGCGGTATAGGGTTAATGCTCCCAACACGTATGTACTTACGTCAACGAAAGAGGCGTTAATGTAATCCTTATCCGGCTCTGAACTCCTCAGCATGACCCGTGCAGTATCCACTTTAATGAAATAAAAAAACGACTTTAACTAAGAAATAAACAATAATGATGATGATGATGTAATGATGAGGGTGAACATCACCCCCAACACTCATCCAATCTATTTAAACTAAACGGGGTTTCAAAAAAATAAAATGTTGGCGAAGTATCAGTATAATTTCGTCCTGACTGATACGAAATTTGGATGAAATCTTTACGAAATGTCAGCAAAAAACGTAGTCAAAGAATGTTTTTAACCTACAAGAGAGCA